GGGGGGGGCCCCCCCCCCCCTAAGTCTCCGTTCGTGACTCTCGGGGCTCAATTTCCGGGAAAGGAACATCCACCTCCCCCAGTACTAAACTAGTACTAAAGTACATAGAACTCAGGTAGCCTAGGCTACCTTTCGTGATCTGAGTTCTGAGTGTCAAAAAACGGTCACCACCGGATGGTTTAAGACCCAACATGTTCTCCACTTTTTGGTGGGTCCAAAATGGGGAGGTCCCAGGCAGATTTCGGACATCTGAGCTCCCCGGCCAGAATTTCCAGCCTGCCACAATGTACAGGATCGCCCCCAGGGTATAGAAGACCTCAAGAGCGTTCTCTCTGCTCAGGTCCACACAACGGGCTCAAGAGTCGCCCCTGAATTGACTTGTTGTTGCACGAAAAATGTGTTTAAGACATCAAAAAACTGAACGAATTGGACCAACTGAAAAATAGAAGTGGCAAAAAGCTGGAGGTTGACTGTAAATTTTGAGAAACATTCCATGAACCAAACGTGTTTTTCCCATTCGCCAACAGACTTCGTCAGATCCCTTTGGTCCCTTGGGATGCCGAAGCGCTGCCATGGTGATGCCCAATCCCCAATTCTTCAAGTTCATCCCCTCCTGGCGTTGAAATTTCTCCAGGGATTTCTGATTTCAAGCTCTGTGTTTTTCCAGATATGGAGATATTCAAGTTATTCAATGGGAATGGATATTGCATGATATTGCTGACCAAAGCAAAATATGATATTTTGGAAAAGGCCCAACATGGCCCAACAATGGCAGCATTTTTTAGATCCAACGGATCATCAAAACCCAGTCATCCCAAGAGGGATCCCACGAAACGGAGGTTGATTGGTTGCTGGTGAGTCCTTAGTTTTGTTCACAACAGGGGACCTGGTACCCATGGGGTACCCAACTTAGATTGATCATGTTCTTCCGTCTTTGAACTCACCAAGTCTGTCAAAGAGACACTCGTATCAATGAGGCACATGAGCGACTGAGGATAGCATTCACTCCGAATCCATGGGTTGCTCCGTAGCAACTGCAAATAGCCATAGAAAGGCATCAGTTGAATCGGTAGTCTCATTGGATCACATAGAACAAAATTCCTAGCACCGGATGGACCTTAAACATGTCAAACTACCCATCATCACATCCCATTGAAAGTGCTAGAACCAAGCATAAAGCATTATCAAACTATAAACAATAACTATAGTTATTATAAATATAAGTTTTTATCAAATATTATCAAATTTTATAGCTTAAACAAAAAGAAACAACGGCAGAAATCATAGCGACCAACCATAAAACATGTGGATCTCTCAGCCTGGATGGTCTTGGGCGCCACCTGTTTGGCCGAAAAACCTCGGTGTTTCTTGGTGCGGATGCCCATGGCCCATGATATAACATCCTGGTTTTCCACAGTTCAACATCTAAATTTCAGGGATCAGTATCCCAGAAAATCATCGTTCCATCATCGTTCCATCATCGTTCCATCATCGTTCCTTCTCCTCCCTTCCTCCCCGCGTGGCGCGTGACGCATGGTGCCATCGTAGGGGTCAGCGCCCACAGGTGGAATGGCCAGTTGGTCGAAGGAATCGGCACAGGCCATGGGACCTGCCCACGATCACCGATGACCCCACCGTGGCATCGTCATGGTTTGTTGCGTTCGCCTTGATTGAATAGAAAACATGGAAAACCATGAAAAAAACATGAAAAATGGGACAAAAACCAAGGTTTTTAGGTGATGAAAATAGAGATTGAAGCATGGGAAACCATGGAAAATATTGGGATGTTGAGTCCAACCAATGAAATTTGACAGATGAAAATTGGGATTCAGCCAGGCCCAGCGGGTAGATATATACCCCAATTTATGGCTAGTTGCAGTCATGGGGTATAAAATACCACTCTGGTGTATCTGCCAGCTGCAACAAACCTGTATGGTATTGGAACTCATTAGGTTTAAATTTCACCAGCTGAATGGGGTGAAAAAAAGGCCCCGTTGGATCACAGCGAATGACAGGAATTCGAATCAACAAGAGAAGGTTTGACCTGACATACAAGAGGCTGTTGCCATAATATGTCAAATGTGGTAAACCTAGATCGTCCCAAACAGGGGTATGTTTCCAATAGGCAACAACCATTTCGGGATGGCAAAAATGGTTGGTTTTACCTCATCATAGTCTATTGGTTACAGATGACCCAGGGACCACAATGGGAGATTGTACTGGCATGATGGGTACCAAAATCTGTTCAATTCATGGTCTTATTATCCTGAAGAGGTGGAAAACCACCCCACTTATGATGACGACGTCCTATCCCTTTGTTGCTGTAGTCATTACTCAGGATCCATTATGTCGTACAAACCAACAAATAAAGGGCACAACTCCGTTATTCGACCCAGAACCCCAAGACTATACGCTTGCATATACACAATATATATATATACATGAATAATCATGAATATATAATATTCCGTTCCATCAGAAGTCTTCGCCTCTCCCTCAAAACTCCATTTGAGGATGATTCTCAAGATTTGGGGTACCCCTTTTCACCCTTCCTTTCTCTATTTATTTCAATGACCGATGTTGAAGATGTTTTCAAACTAAGTATCTTTCGGAGGCTTTCCTCCTGGCGTCATCCAAGGTACCTATCTTGGGCTTCAAGCCCAGGTCGCTGATCATCATCCCACATTCCTTCCTTTTGCGGGCAACAGGAATGGGCTGTTGGAGCCAAAACTAAGGCACTCTTGTCGACCATACATATCTATACATGGGCTTGTGGACCAGCAGGAATCGATAGTTAGACGTCGTCAACAAAACTGAGAAGTTGCGTGCAGAAAGTGGACTTCCAATGTTACAGTGACCCTGACAGAACTTGGGGTAGAACTTGGGTTCCCTTTCCGGAAAAGAACTAGGAGACACCCCACCGGTGCAGACTTTGGTCTTATCTTTCTCGATTCGACCAGCCGTGTATGAATCCGTCCCCAAACTGGCTTACCACTGGCTATTATGCATGAACATAACCCTGCGTACCCCATGTTTGTAAAGCAACAGGATCATCCCCAAGTTTACCATCAATGGATACTTAAATGGGTTGTAGAAAAACAATCAATGCAAATATGGGTGGTTTATGGCTGGTTTATGGCTGGTATATGGGTTGTAGAAAAACACTGCCATGGGTGGTTTATGACATTGGTTTACCCACATTGTTCCAATTATTAACCATGATTAACCATCAATAACCATCATTGACCATCAGAAACCATTATTAACCAACGTTAACAGTCATTAACCCTCAGACACCATGATAAATCATCATAGACCATTATTAACCAACATTAACCATCACTAACCATCAGAAACCATCAATAACCATCATTAACCATCAATAACCATCATTGACCATCATAAACCATCAATAACCATCAGCATAAACCCTTATTCATAGAATTGGATGATGGGAAAATTTACAGGAAAGCCCTATATTTGATGGTAAAAACCATGGTTTCCTGTAGATTTCCCCTTAAATCAATCCAATGACTTATGGCTGGTTGTAAGAAATGGCCACCTCTCCACTCCAAGTCACACGAAGGGCTGCGACACCTTTGGTCCCATGCTCCCGAGGAGCATGACATCCACCGAGAGCCTGAGCCAAAGCATATGTTGGGCTACCCAAGTTTGACCGATAAATATATATATATATCCACTTAGGGGAATATGTATAATATCTCTATATCTCTATCTATATATATATATATAGCTATGGGAAAATTAGACCAAAAAATAATAAGTGCATAGAATTAGAATGTAGAGCAAGGGGCAAGTTTTTATGAAGATTAGTGCGTCAAATTGCATCGTCAATTTTGACTTGTGGACCAGTGGAGTTTCTTGGGTCTACCCCCCTAGGGAATCCACACAGACTGAGGATCCCATCATTCAAATAGGAGATAATCCCGGAGAAATCCAACAATAAATGAAGATTTAAAGCTGGGAAAATCATCCAAACATCTATCAATGCTAGATTTTCCATGAGATTTTCCATCATCCGACTCACCCTCTGTTCGTGGCCTCAACCCAAATCCAACTCGTGGCCTCTGTCGAAGTTCCAGTCTCAATGGCAACTGGCCCTTGGATTGGATCAAATCCCCAGCGAGGCGAGCCAGCCTGCGAAACTGGAGGATTTTCGGATGAAATTTCTGGCTATCAATAGTATCAATACCACATAATGGACCACATAAAACATCCTAAAACCATGAGCTGCATCTGTACTTGTGGTTCCTTTTTCGATGTTTCAGGAGTTTTAAGTTTTAGATGGGAAGTAACCTCTGATACTTGCAGGGAGACCTACCATGGCATACTGTGATGAGTCAGCAGCATCTGCCTCCTCAGTGTGGCCATGTCGGCCTTCCCCACATCTAACACCAAATCATGACATGCTGGAATTGGATGGTTTTGGTTTCCGTAAGTTCTGGAAGCTTCCTAAAACTCCAAGTTGTTCAAACACCCGTAGCTTCAACCAGAGATCAGAAGTGGTACCTCCATCCACTCAGCCACAGAAATCCTGACACCATTGTGCCATCGAGACACATCATGGCGCTAATGGTGGTATTGGCACGCACCCAAATGGAACCGAAACCGTCCTGGGCAGTTTGGTGTTCCAGATTGGCCTCATGCAGTTTCTTGTGTTTCACCCAAACTTCTGAATCACCTCCAGAATATTTAGGACGTTTCAACCCTCTATATATATATAATATATACATATATACCATTTGCATATAAAACATGTATAGCTGTATATGTGAATATGTACAGTGATATTCAATCATACGTACGTGTATCTATATATATATGTACATATATATATATATATACATGTAATCATATATATATACATATATATATGTATGTAATCATATATATATATAATTATATATATAATGATGTACATACCATAGATATAGCATAAATCAATGACCCAGGCTCCGCGGGGAAGTAACTCACCTTTCCCGGAACCGCAGAGGTGTCCCCCACCTTCCTAGCAGCCGCTCGCGGGGACCAGGGTCAACTCTTGGGTTCACATGGGTCTGTCTGAAAATGGATCCCCAACAATTGCCATGAAATGGGAAAAGCATGATACACCAGAGGATTTACCCAGGTAAGTGATTTTCCATATATATATATACAGTATATATATATATATGTCAATATATTTACACATGGGTTCACTATAGTGTCAGATAGGAGGCTTTACCCAAAGGGAACATGTGGGACCTCTGAACCGAGCATCGTCCGCCCAGCGCCCAGATAGACTCCCCCAAGCCGGGTCCATTCGAAGCCTACCGCCACGATCACGGAGACAGCTGGGGGATATATTGACCACTGAAATATGGGGATTATGGGCGTATTACATGTTAAAGATCCATTAAAGATCCATTTATAAGATCCATTAAAGATCCATGTGTCCATCCTTGAAAAGAATACTGTCAACAAGTCGAAAAGAAATGATTTAAGACCGACAAGAGTTGGTAGTTGGTGGAAAAAAATGCGCAAATCAATATACACAGTATATACATATATATATATATGTATATAATATGTGTGTTTGTGTGTCTTCATAAAATGACTGCTTTCAGATCCCACGACTAAGAAGTTATGAAGCTCTCAGGCATGACTTGCCTCAAAGCTTCGGATTTCACCCCGGTTTTCAGTGCCCGACCCAGCCTATGGAATATGGATTTGGATTGCTGCAGTTCATCTGAATGATGAGATCCTGACGAAGTTGCACACGAATTGCTCTTGGGACCCCTGGGAACATCTGCCAGAAGCAAAGTTGTAAGTGCAACGCGGCAAAGTGGGCACGGTCTAGCAATTTAGCATGTTGCCATGGAAAGATTGCCCATTTGTTTACAATCCACCTATGACTTTAATGGTGGTGTTGGAGCAAACTTTTAGTCATTGCCAGTGGGAAAAAACACTCCACTAATCAAACCAACGGCAACCAAACATCCCCGAACTAAATGGAGGTTTGAGTGCTATACATATATATATATATATACATATATATATATACATATAGCTATACATATATATATATATATATGTATACATATATAGTTATATGAGTGGGAAAATCATCGAACTTTATAGCTGGGGCCGCTGGGGGATTTTCCGGTGAAGCTGATGACACCAAGGAACTAGGGTCGTGGGTGAGATCAAGGGAATCCCAATGTGCAGATTTTCCACGCCGGTGGAGGCATGTTCACCTTGGGGATTCTGGGAAAACCTACAGAAAAATGTGGAAAACCCGCGGGAAAATCCAATTGGTGGGTGTTTCCACAACGATGTTAGTTGGGGATAATGGGGAGAATCAAGCCGATTTTCATGGGGTGATAGTAGGATAATGGGTTGTAGCTATAATTCATGGCTAATCAAGAGTTTGTTTCATCAATCAATGGGATAAATCAATGGGACGAAAAAAATGATTAAAATCATTCATGGTATGGCTTGTAGTGGGGATTCCCGTTTAGACCTGGCAGTTGGGTATTCAAAGGTTGTCTGAGATTTTTCCAGGGTCGACATTGAGATACCCTGTTTGTATTTAGAAAGAAAGAGAACTTGGAAAAAAACACACGGTGAATGCGATGTTGATGGTATTTCCAATAATTATGGATTATAGGTGATATATCTATAGTTCATGGGTTTATAACCAATTTATAACTGGCGGAAAAAACACCACCTTGTACTTTTTGAGGTGAAATCTGATTGTCCTTCCCAAAAAAACTGAGGTAAACTGAGTCAGCGCAACGTCCGACCAGTCACAGCTGATGGTGGTGTACAGGGGCGTGAGGCGGATGTAGATGCCTCGCAGGGACGATCGAATCTTGTGTTTTGCTTTCCATGTTTGTTTTTCAAAGCGATTTCCTTACTGATCCATAGTAAAATCAGACCAAAACAATGTTCTTGTTTAACAATAAATAGTTTTCTGTTAAAAAAAAAATGTATTAGTAACCATTAGTATGAGTGGTTTCCCTTTGCATCTTGTTTTTTACCACTGTTGAAGATGTCTTCAGAACCATCCGATTCCCCCAGAGGTTTCTGTCCCAAGTCGCTGGTGGCGCAGGAGGCGGAGAAGATACAGAAGGTCCCTGGAACCGACGAGGGCTTGGTCCTTCCCCAGTTACTACAGGTGTTCCACACAAAATATAGCGAAATATAACAAAAATATAACAAAAATATCACAACATAATCTTGAAATATTATAATATAAAAGATGTAAAATATATGTTATATGTAAGTTCCTAACTGTTGTAGTTTGGAAACTGGAAAATGTTGAAGTACTAACCAAAACATGATTGAGGTTTTACAAAGAATAGAATATGCTAAATAATGGAAAATGGTATAAGACAAACGCAATGATTTCCAGTCGCAAAAATTGTTCGATCCATCTGGGGGTTGCTGTAAGTGATCCACAGTTGAAGTCGACTCTGATCGACATCCTGGTCCAATTTAAAAAACATGACCGATAAGAACTTGAAGACAAAAGCTTGGGGTAACCCCCAGTTTAGAATCTTTAGAATGCCTCTAAATATGGAGGCTTTAATCTTGCAAGGTGCCACGCACTGGCTGAGTTCAGGGGATTACCCTCTTGTGACTCTTGTGCATTAACAGTTCGCTGTGGAAAAACATCATCTTTGATAGGCACAGAAGCGAAAAGAATAGACCATGTTCATACATTGTCCATGGCTGTGAAAGAAATTTCCAGAGGGTGCCCCCGGGCCCCCCCAAAAAACGTGCTCTTCGATCGGTCATCTGCGATCAAAGTGGAACCCCCCTCTTGAGCGGCTTTGTTGAGCCCAGGGGCCCAGCATCTAGTTGAACCAGCGATCATGCTGATTCAAGCAACCAAAATGATAATGTGAGCAAGAAACCAATGAAAGTGCTTATCAACCAACAAAGATGCGGAATTGAAGCACGCAAAATCGTGATCTAAGCTACAAAAATGACATCTCCACACAGGAAACGCGTTGAACCAAACATGGGCAACATTATGAAATCATGGGCGTGTAAAGCATCCCATAGTAGGGATATGGAAAACAACCGGCAAGACTCAGATTCGACTTCAGCCTATAACAGCTGCAAGGATCCCGCAGCTGCATGGATATCGAGCGCAAACGCCACACATCGCGGTTTCCTGTGTCTCCTTGTAACCTCCAATGACGAGGACGAAAAAGTGGCTTGTGAAACGACAATCTTCTCAAGATCCCGTTGAGAACTTCAAACATGTCAAGCTAAGGCAGCTAAGATAGATATCCTGACTCAAAGCTGCTGGTCTTTGATAAAAAAAAAAAACGAACATCCCCAGGGCTTTCGGATGCGTTCAGTTTGAAAGTAACTGGAATGACTTGAAATCAAGATAGCCAGAAACCATGTGCAGCAACCTATACAAGCACCTTGAATGCATTTGCAAAAAAATGAGACCAATGGACCATGTCTGTCTGGGTCCACTATCTAATTGTTTGACGGCATAATGCCAGGTCATGTTTTGAATCCACGAATTTACTGCTGCTTGTGGTGCCTGTAAGCTGAAAGGCTGCGATTTCCGTGTGTGATTGAAGATCTTCCACAATCCTGGTGGTGGCTTTAGTGGATGCAAACATGAAGGTAAAGTCCGAATCCCACTCCCTTATCTGATTCTGCGGAAGGACGCGTCCTTCAGTGGTGTTGAACCCAGATTGAGAATGGCTCAAGCACCAATTTGGGTCCCACAAATGGTGGTTTCCTGAAACAGGGCTACCCCTAGTTCTGGTTGGTATTTTCCATGAAATAAACCATCCAGCTATGGGGGTAGCCCCATTTATGGAAACCCCCAAATGGCTCAAGATCTCCTCCAGCAGCTCGCTGAGCCGTTGCCCCAAGGCCCTTGAAGCTTCCGCGCCGGCGAGGCAGGCAGACTGCCAGCGCCAGTAATGGGTTCTTTAACCATCGTTAACCATTGTTAAGCAGAGTTAAGCAGAGTTAAGCATAGGTGGATGCAATCTGCTTGTCCAACTAGGCCACTGGGGCTGCAGTTGGGGCAAGAACCTCCATCAGTTGGGATATATTGGTGGAGCTGCACCCCAGAGGATTTCACCACTCTTTTCTGCAGACTTGACCACAGGTGACCCTAGTTAACTTAGGGAAATCAACCATGGTCAACCATTGTGAAAACCATAGTTGACCATGGTCAGCCATACTTGAAAGAAACACCCAGTTACAGCTTAGTTTATAAACCTCAGTAAATTAATCTCGCTACCAACTTCGCCATGTCATCACGCAGCCCACCCATGCAAGCCATGATGAATTTTTGGTGCGTCGAACACCACAACACCACCGACGGAGACCCAGGGGATCCTTAGCGGAGGGTACCGCGGTGAAGTGACCCATAGACTGCGATCCGTCGTGATCGTCTGGAAACGATGGCTGTCGACTATCAGACAAGATCATGCAATGCCTAGTCTGTGAATGTGGTAAACAAAAGCATCCCTGTAGCCAAGTGTGAAAGGTGGGTCGTTTTACATTATACCAAAGAAAGAGTACCCAGTAGTAAACCTTTTAGCATTTAGCATTGGGCTTACCAAAATTAACAGAAGCCAACAAGAGTCATTCCCCACCTGGGCGTAAACTGCTGCGCTATCACCACCACCCTTGCGGACAGCCTCCACAGGTCGCAGTGGATAACTACCATGGCTTTGAAATAGATGGGTTTGAAGGATAATCTACAATCTACGGGAAAAAATGGTAATGACCCCTCAAAAAGCGAAAGTTTCCTGTGAATCTTCTACTTAGATTAATTCTGGAAGGACATACATGCAAAAGCAAATCCACAGAAAAAGGCAAGGTAAATCAGTGGAAAAGAATCTGGGGCATACAGTAGATTGTGAATAAGCAAACCTCTTTGACTCTAATGATCTAGAATTACAACAGCTTGCCTACAAGAGCTCAGGTACAGAGGTCAATATCCTTGCATGGTGGTTGGTTGCAGCAGTATTCCCAGTTTTTCCCTAGCAGGATCTCATTCAAATTGTATTCACAAGTCCAAGCAACCCAAAAGAGCCTTGAAAAGCTCAAATGAGTCTTCATCTACCCTCTGGTAAATTAACATAGCTATGGAAAGATCCACCATTTTTAATTAGGGAAAATCCACTATTTCAACTGGGCCATTTTCAATAGCTATTTTGACATAACCAGAGGGTATCCACCTCCACATTCAGAAAGACATCATCTTTTAGCCCCTCCTTGTCCCTCCCCAGATTGCACCAGTTGGGCCTCCATTATGGCATCCAACTGAGCCGCAGCTGCCTCAGCCTGTGGATGTTGATCCCCACTTTCGGTAGTGGAACCTGGCCTGGTGTTTCAATCATATTGAAGAAAGAAAGAAAACCTCTATATATATATGTTATATATATATGTATATGTTATATATATAAATGTTATATATATATATGTTATATATATATGTATATGTTTTATATATATATGTTATATATATATGTTATATATATATATTATATATGTATGTTATATATATATATGTTATATATATATGTTATATATATGTATATGTTATATATATATATGTTATACATATATGTATATGTTATATATATATGTATATGTTATATATATATATATATGTTATATATATATGTTATATATATATGTTATATATATGTTATATATATATATGTTATATATATATATATATATATGTTATATATATATATGTTATATATATATGTTATATATATGTTATATATATATATGTTATATATTCATGTTATATATATATGTTATATATATATATGTTATATATATGTTATATATATATGTTATATATATGTGTTATATATATATGTTATATATATATATATGTTATATATATATATATGTTATATATATATATGTTATATATATGTTATATATATATATGTTATATATATATATGTTATATATATTATATATATATGTTATATATATATATGTTATATATATATATGTTATATATATATATGTTATATATATATGTTATATATATATGTTATATATATATATATATATGTTATATATATGTTATATATATGTTATATATATGTTATATATATATGTGTTATATATATATGTTATATATATGTTATATATATATGTGTTATATATATATGTTATATATATGTTATATATATGTGTTATATATATATGTTATATATATATATGTTATATATATATATATGTTATATATATATATATATATATGTTATATATATATGTTATATATATTTGTTATATATACATTGAGGGTTCAAGCAGCTGTAGACCCAAATCTCCCCCGCAGGTGGTTTCACAAACCTAACCCAAGCCATGCCTTTCTCTACCCCATGCAGGCTGTTACTCCAAATGATAACACGGGCCGGTAAGCTGCACCAAATGCTGATTCTCGCGAATCCATGGTTCGTCCTCATCCCAGTCAGTTGATTCATCTATGGTGATCACAATGGGGACCCTGAATAAATAAACCTGATATGAGAATATGTTCGTCTGTGACTGGCCTAAGCGATGAAAGTCTGGGTTTGCCTGAAATAAGGCCCGCTGAGATAGCACAAAAGACATAGAATTGCAATTGTCGAACAGGATAAAGCCGTGAGAATCTCTGTCGTAATGTTGTAACTCAGCGGCCGTGGCACCCTGGACAGTTTGAATGAAAGGAGGCTTCTGGATATACGTCGGCAAAACGAAAGGGAGGCATTTTGCCAAGGTGCTTTTGCCAGCGCGCGAAGGCGCCCGGAGCACAAGAAATTTGTACCGAGAATCTAAAATGGAATACGGTTTGGCCCAGTCTTCGACTCGGGCAACCACTTCTGGCAAAAATGGCTTTTGCAATGGCTGGAGCTGAGCCACCACTTCGGCCTGCTCACGTCGGAGGCGACTTTCGCTCTCCTGCTGCATGACTGCTTCCACAGCGCGTTTGCGGGTGATATAGCCCAAGCGCACCTGCAACCTGCTGCACACGGTGTTGACACTTTTATAGTGATAATTCTGGAGACATTGGCCCTCTTTCTGAAAATGCATCTATAGAATCAGAGACCCCAAGGTATTTTCAAGTTGACAATCTCTTTAGAATCGCTGCCCCCAAGTCACTCTCGTAGAGCCGTTTTTTGGTTGGGGGGGTTAGTTGGCCTTCTATAAAATCAGGCTCCCCAAGTGTCATTCATTGACAGCTGACCTGAATGCTCCAGTTGCTCTTGCCTACCTTACCTTATGCATTCCCAATTTTATAGAGCTCAAAGGCTCCAAGTCTTCACTGTCAACCTCTTCGATTATATACAAGGATGATCAATGATGATGAACGAATTGTTGTGGGAAATTTGTTCTGCCAATACTTCTCTATAGAATTGAAGAACATGACATACACCCAAAGAGAACAGATCCAACTATAGAATCGCAGTGGCTAAGGCTTTCTGCTGACTAGGACTCAGTGCTGTATTCAACATGAAATCTCTATAGAATCAGAGGCCCCAAGGTCCTCTATACAATTGAAAGCGTTGACACTGGGTAGGTACCCCTAAACAAAGCAGGGGGTTAAAACGCACCATTTTCCAGGACCCAACGTTCTTGATTCTGTAGAGGAAATTCCAAGGGGGATATTTGAAGGTATCTGAAGATATGTTACGGCCAAATTATTGCTTATGTTCGGACACGTTATCAGACTCGAAGCAGCACTTTTATAAACAACATAGGTGTTTGTGACGTTCCCTATTCTATGAAATGGACCTGCTATGAAGTGGTCCCACTGAAATTCACATTGGGTTTATGTTATGTTCCATTTCATACAAATCTTTTCGGAGTTGGTCAATATTCTGGTACCCGAAAACTGCCCGCACGCCACCCTTTCGCGAACCGTTCGCGCCCCAGCAGAATCGGGACAAGGAATTCTGATCATGTTTTCGTGCGCATATGTGTTTATACATAGTGGTATGCAGACCTCGTTGAATTTTAAGGTTTCTCCATCCCACTTTATTACTTGTATATTATGGTACCCATATTCCAGACCACATAAAATATGATAAAGAAACATTTATAGTATGGGTTTAATCATTTCATCCGGACATGGGTTCTTCCATTCCATATAGAGCTTCAATCAAGGGGGATCGATAAACAGCTATTGACAAGTCAACTGCAAT